CCGCCCTGCCGGCACAGCCAGCACCTTCTGATGGCTTTGTCAGCTCCTGGCTAATTAGCAGAGATGCTCTTCAGTGAGGTTAGGGAAGAATAATTTTAAAACATCAAAGAGAAGCAGTAAATAATGATAAAAGTCGGCTGTTTCATGGTTGTCATCGGAGGCACAGGCTGCCTGTGTTTACAGGACTGATGTGTCCTGTCTTTGGAGTCCCATCAAGGACCCGTCCTTTTGGCCTGAACCTTGTCCCACAGTCGTGTCCAGGGACATTTTCCAGTCGGGGCCCGGTCACAGCGTGTCAGGGACAGTGTCTGGGTTGTGCCTATCTCTGGTTGGAGACAGCCTGGCTCCAGGCTCTGCTGGCACAGAGTGGCAGAACCAGCTGGACCATGGGGCTGCTGCCCTGGGGGTGCCACAGCCCTGAGCAAACGCGGCCAGGGAGCACCTGAACCCCAGCTCAAGGTGGCTGCTGCTCCCCTCTGCTCCCTGTACGGTTGTTTTTACCTGTCGGGTTTCAGTATCACTGGGAGCTAGTTAAAGTTTAGCTCAGCGCTCTCCATCATCTGAGCACAGCCTCACGTCTCCTGGTAAATCCCCTGCTGATGGCAGCTCGTGCTCAGTGCACCCCAGTACAAGGTTCCCTGATATTTGGGAGCCCCAGCGCAGCTCAGAACAAACTGCCATCCCTCAGGGTAACCCCAAAAATGAGCCACCCATCCCCTCCCTGGCAGCTCTGGCAGCGAGCAGGCTGCATCCCCCCGGGCTGCTGCAGGGTTTTATTTTAAGCAGAGCCTCTCAGGGAGAAGGGTAACGTGAGCTCCTTGAGTGACAAGTGATAGAGCTCGACTTGCTCAGCGTGTCCCCCAGGAATCCCTCTCCTCTGCCATTTGCTAATTGAAAACTGCTAACATTTGGGTCTGGAGCAACTGCCGCCCTTAATGGGAAGCTGGCTGGAGCGAGCGTTGGTGGGACTAACACATGCTCACAGCCTGTCATCTGCTCGGCTCCATCTCTGGGGAAAGGGGCAAATACTCCCATATGCTGCTCTGATTTCTCAAAGAGTGACGAGGGGGCTGGAGCCAGACAGATTTGCTTTTATTCTCCCTCCTCCAGGCTCTTGCTCAGTTACAAACCGTGGCTGGAGGGAGGCTGTGAGCCTGCGGTGTGAGTTCCCAGCGAGACAAAGCCACAGGAGCTTGTGTCCCCCTCGTTCCTGTGGTGTGGAGGGCTCAGGGCAGCCCCTCCGTGTCCTGCTGTGGGTGATGGCTGGGATATGAGCTGCTCTGTGGTGGGAGCAGGCCTGGAGCTGTGTCCCACCTCCAGCCTGCTCAGGGGCACAGCCGTGCCCTCGGGCTGCCTGCAGGAGTGTGGCACCCCTGGGACACCTCTGAGTCAGGGAGGGCATGCAGGGACAGCGAGGACACGGCCGTGTGTGCCCGCAGAGCCCCGGGCCGGGGGAGGCTGCAGGGTGAGGGGCCGTGTGTGATGTGATGCTGATGCTCCCCAAACTCCTGCAGTGGCCGTTCCCGGTGTGGCGGGTACCAAACCCACCAGTGGGGTGCTCCCCATGTCCGTAGGGTGCCTGTCCCCATGTGCTGCCCCCCAAACCCCTCGGAGGGGCTGTTCCCTGGGGGATGCTCCCCAGGATGCCGGCACCGCTCCATCCCCCCCGTTCGG